CGCCACCTTAAGGTGGCTGCTTTGATTGCAGCGCCCCGGCGCCGGCACGTAGTCCTGGCTGCCGCGCTCCCCCCCCCGCCACCCCCCGCCGCTGTTGCATAATGTCTCTGGATTTCGGGAAAATTGATGTTTCAGTGGAGGAGAGCGCGCCAGGGCGGCGCAGCGGAGACCGAGCCCTCTGGCCGCAGGACATCGCGCCCTGCTCTCCCGGGGGCTCTCCGGGCTGGGTCCCCTCTCCCGGCCGGCGGCGTGAGGAGGGGGAGGGTTGAGTCCCGGGGAATCGTCTTGATTTGCTTGTTGAGGAGGGTTGGGAGAGCGAACGGTGACGGCATTCGGAGATGCCTGCGCGGCGTTTGTGTCAGGCGCTAGGTCTGCACCGACGTTTTCCACCCTGGTTGTCGTCAGCGTGTTTTACAAGCCCTGGGGAAGCTGGAGGGATGTGTCCTTTCTTACATTGCATAATCGGTCCGCGGTGAAACGTTGGCACCGAGGACCCGCTGATGTGGGAATTTGCGCGTGTGTGTGCCGTGGTTTGTTCATTTCAGTGCGGCGTAGGCTTTAGATCCTTATTTACATCTCTGTGTCTTCCCAAATAAGCATGTTTTTAAAATGCTGCTACGAAATTCACAAGAAGGAAAAATTCCTAGGGTTGTACACTGACGGGGGCGGGGAGGCGTTTCTTAAACGTTCTGAGGTGTTATTTTTAAATCGGGGACGAGCCATTGTGACGTTTGCCTCCCCACCTTCCCTACTGGAGTGCGTTCCATGCCATCAGCCCTTTTTTCTCACCTTCTCGTCTTGTTTTTTTTTTTTTTTTTTTTTTTTTTTTTTTTTTTTTTTTTTTTTTTTTACGACAAGACATCACATTAATAGATTCCTGGAAATGTTACGTATTATGTAACTGCCGAATTTGCGGGCTGTTGAGCATAGAGAGAGAGACCTAATTACGTGATTTTATAATCTTGCCACAAAGAAAGTATGGCATTCTCAGTGTTCAAGAATGCCACTATCAACAGGGTTTTTTTCTTTCTTTTTTTAAGGATGTTTTAAACTGGAAAGTAGACGACCGGTTCAGCGTTGACTTAGCTCATGCTTCCCAAATGTATGTCTTTTGCCCTAAATAAAATGTGCGTTTTTCTAAATTTAGCTCTATCACTAACAATCGTGGCCTCGGTGCTATTTCTGGTTCCTCCAGAGCTCTGTGCAAATACAAGTTCAAGGCCATTTGCTGTAGTTTTAACTCCACGCCTTTGGAGACCTCTGATAAGACTGTATTTTTAGGAAGGCATTTCGCAGAGCCCAGTAACTGCTTGCTGGACGCCGGCCCCATTTATCATTTTAAAGGACACTTTGGGGAACTGCTGCGTTCAGAGACAGCAGGGAATGGCCAAGCGACACCTTCTGTTCTTGGCTTTTGTAAATAACAACAGCTAATGAGGTCAGAAGTATTTCACGTCGTATTTTTTTTCCACCAGACCAGATATGACTTATGGGACGCAGATATAGGTTAGTAGATTGTATTTTTGTCGCTATAACCTAGTTTTATTCATATGGGAATATATGACTATGTGAAGTACTTCTTAGCGTGGCATTTACATAGTTAAAGTGCAGTATTATTTTAAGGGGGGTGGGGACGAATTCTAGGGATTCACCCCTGGAGCAAATTGTTACCCCAATTTCAGCCGTTCTCCAAGACACAGCAGTTGTACAAGGCCCCCTAGCTGCAGACCCTGACCCACTTTGCAAGCCGGGGTGGGAACCCTAGGCCTGTAGGGGGGCTGCGCGGCGCCACCTTCCGATTGCACCTTGGGGATCGGGTCCCTGGGCCCCTCGCTTCTCTCCCGCGGGCTAGGGGCGCGTCTGGAGATGGCGGGCCGGGACCTCGGGCCAGGACGCACCCCTGGGGCTGCCGCCGGACGCGCCTGGCGGTGGCCCGCGCGCCTCCCTGCCCCCTCCCCGCATTCCTTTGTTCTGGCGCGGGGGTCCTCGCGGCGCCGAGGCCCCGCTGCGCCGCCCACCCGGCGGGAGGTGGGGGCGCGGCCGCGGAGCGGGGCGGAGGCTCACCCGGCCGGAGCTCAGCGATGCGCTCCCCGGGGCGGGAGGCTGGAGGCGGAGACCGGCCTCCAGGCGGTGCAGCCTCGGCCGGGCACAGACTCCTACTCTCCGCACCGCGAGCTTCAACCCCACTGACACCATTGTTCCCCGAGTCTTCATATATTTCTGAGCCAGGCGCTTCTCCATTCATGAAGTCCGAACGCATACCTCCAAAAAGCCACAGAAAAGGGGGAGGCAGATTTGATCGCAGTGGAAAGGAAGGCCCTAGCTTGAGCCTGGCCAGTTGAGCCCATATTTTTATTATTTTGTCTTGTATTTTTAGTTTATATTGTCAAAGGCTCAAGTTTATGTGGTCGGGTGTCCCAAGTTCAAAATTAAACACCCACATAGACGCTGCTGCCCCGCTGTAAAAGTACCTCCCTGGGGCTTCGTCGCAGTTGTAGATTTCCCAAGGTGGGCTCCTGATGGCACTCAGGGCAAAGTATCCATGTGCTCTGAGGGTACCCAGCTCAGTTCGCGCTGTGTGGACTACAAACCAGGAACTCAGCTTCAGGGGATATTGAACATCCCTGTGTCGAACCACGGTACCTCTTACTAGACTTTCAGATAGAGAAAACAGATCTGGGAGGTGCAGAGAGAGCCGGTGCTGATGCTGCCTGGGCTTCTGCCCTTACTCCCCACCCCCCATCCCCCCAACACACACATGGTAGTCCCTCCCTGCTCCCTGCGCTCATTCCCACCGCCCTCCGGGAAAACTAAGGACAGAACCGGTGGAGCTGGGCATTTAGGAGAGCTCAGTAAAGGCTTTCTGGGTACTTTAGAGACCAGACTGCTTGTGTATACGCTCACCTTCCTCTACTCAGTCTGAATCTCACATTAAGGATTAGGATTGGTGTTGGTATTGTGCCTGTAGTTTTTTCTTGAGATTCTGTTTTTGTTCCTCAAAACTGTTGACCTGTTAATTTCTGTTATCAGGAGGAGTCAGGTTTTAGGGAGCTGTTTGAAGAAGCAGAAATGAGGAGTTGTCATCACAGGAGCAGTTCAGCCTTTTCCAGACCCCTGGAACTTTCTGTCTTGTGTTCTTGGGCCTGGTCCTGTGCCTGCCTCTAAACCGCTGGTTTGAGATCAGCAGTGGCTGGTGACACAGCCAGCTGTTACAGAGGATGCATGTATCTATGGGGCTGACAACTAAAGGCAGACCCCAGTTGCAATGCTCATACTGGACCCTGTTGATTAACCTAAGAAACCTGGATCTGCATTTGCCCAGGGCAGTGTGGGTTGCCAAAAGGGCTGGATGGGGCCTGTAGGAACTGATCATTCTTCAGAAATAAGAGGGGCTGATTCATAGTAAACACAGCGTGGGGGAACCACTCGGCACCCCTATTTTACAGAGGACAAAACAGGGAGCTCAGAGAAGCTAGTCAACAGCGCAGGCCAGAGCTTAAAAAGATGGGGAGCTCTGCTAGTCATAGCCTCCCCCGACCCTTGTTTCTGTCAACGAGAGTGAGCGAGCTCACTGTATAGTTTGTGAAACAGTTTCCTTTCTTGTGTTTTGGGCTTATCTTGGCAATTCTAGCATCACCATGATGCAACAGCCTGCAAATTAAAGCCCTTTGTGAACAGCAGCCCTAAACACGTTGAGCAAGGCCCCTGACTCACTCTCGCCAGTGGAGTTTTCTAGCTGACCTTGCCGTGGTCATCAGTTAGTTCTGGAGATGCAGGCCTGATTGCAGCGTGGGATGGAAAGGCGCGGTCAGAGTGCTCAGCTTTATTTTTGCCCGACTTAGAAATCACACATACCTCATTATTTCCATTGTAACCCAGATGGCATCGATGCTGTTAAAAGTTGTTTATTTTTAATTTGTATTGAGGAATGAGAGCACGCTTGGGATTCATTTCAAGCATAACAAAACAATGTAATTGAAGTTTCCTATAATGTTCACTTCTTGTTTTTGTCAGGTATGCTGAGTTTCACAGCGTTAGCACATTGTTTGGTATCCTGTTATTTTTCTAAATTATATTTGAGTTGATTTTTATCCAGATCGGACTCACCAGGGAATGTGGAAAGACCCTGACCTTTGATCACAGACATTACATAAGAGTTTTTTCAGTTTCAAAATGAGTTTTTATTACCACCACCCCCAATTATCTCTCACATTTCTTTGCAAGTAACTTTCCTGT